CAGGTGGTAAATACTTTTTTATTTAAACAATTTAAATTCAAGGTGTATAAAGTCTGTCCTAAAAGCACAAACCAGTGCATTCAGGTTTAATCAGTTTATCATAACTTGAAGAAAGGGTTAAGAAATACTGTAGTTACTGGATGAGTCGTCTTTTGTTTCCTTAGACAATGGGTGTTATCTGCATCTCTTTTCTTGTGGTGACAGAAGAACAAGCTTGTGTGTGTGGGTGTGTTACCTACCTGCACAGTCAGAAGTGTGTTTTATTGCTCAGTTCCCAAGCAGCTTATAGATAACGGTTAGTTGATGAGGCRATCAATACGATTCTGTTGTGACAGGAAAACCTCTGTCAGCTGTTTTTAGTCAGCAGTTTGAGGAAAACTTATTCAGCTTTCATTTAAYTACAGTTTTAACGTTTTAAAACATGTATTCTTAACATCTCAGTGGCAAAGTGAGGAAACTCTGAAAAGAATTAATACTTCTTAATGTGACCTCAAATAGTCGACCTGCGTTGCCTCCTGCTCTGMTCGGGACAAAGTCTGGTCGTCACAGAGTGTACAGCTCTTTAACTTGTGAAACAAGAACAAACGTAGAAACTGATGACGAAGGTTTGGAGATTTGACCTAAACTGATAACTCTGAGACAATAATCAGTTATCAATGACAGCTGATTGGGCTCCTTGTTTCGTTTCCTCAGCCTTTTCTTGTTGATTTTTTAAACATTTCAACAGTAAAAAAATTACCTGGTTTTAATTACATCTTGTTTAAAACAGTTTCTAAATTATGAACATGAGCTAGCAGTGAACACAAACTTACAAAACTAACCTCTTCTAAGCGGATTTTAAATTTGGCAACATTTTTTATTGGCGAGTTGGCGTTTAAATCCAAAATAACTCAAAATGWACAATTACATTTGATGAGGGCTACACAGTATTAGACATTCGGCAGTCATCTTCTTCTAGCAGGGATGTTGGTGGAACAGAGTTTTAGAGTTATTTTAAACATTTTTTGTACAAATGGCTTCATATTAACTAACTAATAAGATGTGACATGTTAAAGGCAGTGTGTAGGATTTGTTGTTTTCAGCTACAGTACATCTAGTGGTTGAGTGGTTGAATCATCCTCCCTGGTCC